AAAGGCAAGCCGATCCACCCCCAGACCGTTAGAGATGCTTTGAGTGTTTTTGAGCATGGTGAGTGTTAGGTAGTGGGTCTTAATACCAGTCCTGTAATGAGGAGGTTTCACTCTATCAGTATGGTCTTTACTGAGAGGCTGGCTATCAACACCGCATCCGGATCAATACTTGGTATTAATAGGCATCCAGGGTACTAAGACTCACCTGGGATTGATTTGGTTATTCCCAAAAGGGAATGAGCTAACAATACTTATTAAGCTTTAACAAAATTAGTTGAAGATTAATAAATATTGTTGATGGGAATATTCAGCAAGGCTATGAATATTGTGGATAAGTTGAGTAAGAGTACTGAAGCTTAAGAAAAATAAATGTAGACTAGATTTATGTTGGTTACGTGTACTGTATCAATATAAATGTTAGCTGGTTTAACTGTTGTGTGAATATTCTGGGGATTAATCAGTGAAAGAGGCACGCATTATAAGTTCCACAATATTGAAGGAGGGAAAGAATGAGTGCTGAGAATCAAGGGAGCTTTGGCTAGGAGAATGAGCACATCAATTGAGTGACTGATCATTATTTGTCATGATCTGTAAGTGGCATCATAATTGTGTACTAGTTGATCAATGTACTAGTTGCTCTTGATGCGTGTATGTAACAGATCCTCTGATATTGTAGTCATAATTGTGATCAGTGCATGTATTGAATGTGTTAATTCTATTAAAACTTAATACTTACTATTCAATACATGTACATATTTATTTGTAATGATATTTGACCGTGAAAATACTGTAGAACAGGGATAACTTGTGGTACAGTTATTTCACGGATAAAAGGGTGAAAGGTGAGTGATAATTACTTATGTATAAAACAGAGATGTATTTAATAGATAAGTAATTAATAGATAAGATGAATATAAGATAAATAAGATAAGGTAATAATAATGATAAGATAACAAGAGGTAAAGGTAATCAACCTTATGGATAAGTACTTATGTACATAAGTACAGGTGTTGCAGTTACTTGGTACATGAAAAGGTACTGTGATATGTACTCTGTGGCTGACATAAATCAACATCAACTTTTTACTTCAACCCCTCAGACTCGCAATCGAAAACCACTGTTGGTTATTGCTCGACTTTCTAATTGACAAAGATTACACTCTTGATCTACTCTACCATCATGCCAACCTACCATCAAGTCCAAAATGTTTTGTCAGCCTGCTACTATTCAGAGACAACCTGAGCATAGCATATTAAATATCTAGAGACATTATTACACATACTACCCCCATAGCATATGTAATTAATGTCTATTTTATATGTACATAAGAAAGAGACATTATTACATATGTACATATAAAAAAATTGATATTTAAATAAGTGGAATCATTATAAAAGAGACCTTATTACTCATCACATCTAGTTTTACTAGTCACAAAAGAAAAAATAAAAATAAACCAAAAACATTTATAAATAAACATTTTTAACATGAATCTACAGATAACTTCTGAACCTTAAGCAAAAATTAGAATATTATTTCAGATTATTAATTTTCATGCAAAATAACCTAGGGTACCTCACCAAAGGTACCCCTTAATTATTACTCCTTCATGTACTTCTGTGTGCTCTGCGTGACACTTGTTCATTTTGCTAGAAACCCTCCCAGTTACATCATACTACATGTTGTGACAGGTCTACACATGCAATTAAGGTTCATGCAGTTCGGGAAAAATCCACAAATAAGGTTTACATCATTGAAACCTCAACTACATTATCACAACAACTGTAACTGGCTGGTCTAAAGCCATTTGTGGCCCTTTTTGGCCCAATTTGGCTAACTACCCTTGTGAGGACCAGCCCACTGGTCATTAAAGGGTCTCAGTGACCAAACCATGGCTGAAGGTTTGTCACAGCACCCCTTAGTGTGTGTTAAAAGCCTCACTTCAGCCCTCTGACACCTGTAACCAAGGACTACAGGTGTCTAGGCAGTGCTACAGGTCACCAATGCCTAGTAGGAGGCTTGCACCAGCCAAACAGAGTTCTGAGTTCGCCTGCAAGGGCCCAGAATGAGTATATAAGGAGCCCTTCCTGCCCCCAAACTCTGATTCCCCATCTTCATTACCATTTACCAGCAATAACCACCTTCAAATATCAGTTTTCACCTGTTTTTGGCCCAGTTCCTGCTGTTTCTGTATTGGATATCACCAAACCAACCATCAAATTTTCCCCAGAACTCTTCCAACACCTGTTACCCAGCTTTCTGAGCGCTCCCAGACCAGTTTTCACCCACCTGAAGTCCCCTTGGCTTGGAAATAGTACTAAGTAGGTAATATTTCCTTGATACTTCAGTTGTAGGCCATTTGTCTGTTATGAGCTGTGGAGGACTGGAACTGGGGACGTTACATATGTAGAGAGCCTGTTACGTACATGTCACGAACTTCGAACTTGGAGTTCGTTCGAGATCCGAACCTTGTACATTCCTCATCTTGCAATCTACCATCAAGACTCAGAACCCAGAAGATCCCTCACCTGCTCTCCCCAGAACACCCATAACATATTGCAAGATCAACTCACACGGAGACCAGGAACGAAACAACCAGAACACCACTCCTCAAACCTTGAAAATCAACTCAGAAAACTCTCCTCTCAAACCTTGAAAATCAACTCCCTTGAACCTTGTCTATCCTACCTCTCAACCTTGTTACTCACAGCCCTGCATCCCTCTTTACCTCTCACAGTACTCACAGGACCCCCAGGAGACCCTCAGGCCCCCCAGGAGTCGTTTGTTAGCGTTGGATCGTCGCGGATCGTTGATTTACATCGTTTTTGGTCGTTTGGATCGCTCGGAACGTCGTAGGACCCTCGGAGACCCCCACGCGCCCTCGGTTTCGCCTCGGAACGCTCGGAAACCGCTCCGGAACGCTCCTAGACCTCCCTGGAACCCCCCAGGCCCGCCGTTCACTTTTAGACGTCCTAGACGGACCGGATCGTCGTCGGACGCTTCAGAAAGAAGCCCCCGAGCCCCTAGACTCCCCAGGACCTCTCCATCCCATCGGAGAAGCCCTAGAGCGCAGCGAAGCGCCGCAAAGCACTCCAGAGCGCAGCGAAGCGCAACGACGCACCCCAGAGCCCCTAGCAGCCCACCAGAGCGCCTCAGGACGCCCCTGAGCCCTATCAGCGCCTCAGACAACCCCCTCAGCCCCCTCAACCCCCCAGACGCCCCCTAAAGACCCCAACCACCCCACAAAAGAGGAGTGGAACAGCCTGTAAGGAGCCCAGAACACCCCTTCCTATCCCGAAGGCGGACACCCAGACACCTAGAACCCCGTGAGAACCCCTGAACCCCCTGAAGCAACCCAAGACCCCCCTAAGATCCCCCCAAACACTCAGAACAAACCCCAGAACCCCCTCAAGACACCCCAGATCCCCGAAGAGAGCTCACACGAGCCGTTTGGCGAGGCGTAAAAGTACAAAAGTAAGCCTCCACAATTTTAGTTGCACCTTCCGAAGTCACTACACACCGTCAAAGCATTACCTGCCACTCTGTGAGCCGCCCCGTACTGTTTTGCTATGGACGTAGATGAGAAGGACACCAAACTCGCCGAGGTCCAGGTGCAACTGTCCCAACTCCTGGCCGTGGTCGAGGAGGAACACAAGGTCCGGAAGGAGACGGAGGAGCGTTTGGCCAGGAAGGAGGCCCAATTGACGAAGGCCCTGAAGAACGCCGAAAATAAGCCGCAAGGACCAGCCCCGCCGGCCAAAGGCCCGAAGATCGGCGTCCCTGACAAGTTCGATGGCACCCGTGGAGCTAAAGCGGAGGTTTTCATCAACCAGGTAAACCTCTATGTCCTGGCCAACGGACACCTCTTTGGCACCGACCGCGCCATCATGGTGTTTGTGTTGTCCTACCTGACTGGACCGGCTAGCTCTTGGGCCCAACCATGGATGAAGAAGGTGATGAGCGATACTGAAGCTATCAGTAAAGACGACTTTGACACTCAGTTCACCGCCATGTACTGCGACACCGAGAAGAAGACCAAGGCGGAAGCATCCCTACGAGCGCTCAAACAGACCAAGTCGGTCTCTCACTACACCCACCAGTTCAACCTGCACGCCCACAACACCGGCTGGGCTCCCGCCGTCCTCGTCAGCCAGTACAGACAAGGCCTGCAATCGCAAATACGCCTGATGTTGCTGATGAGTCGTACCGAATTCTCCGAACTGGCCGACATCGCCACTCTGGCCCTGCAGATCGACAATGAACTCCACGGCCTAGCACCCACTGAGACGGCCAAGACCCCGGACCCCAATGCGATGGACTTATCAGTCATGCGTGGCCGCCTTTTGGATGCGGAGAAGACCAGAATGATGCGAGCGGGCCAGTGCTTCCGATGCGGGAACCAAGGCCACATCTCGAGGGATTGCCCGGACCGTGGACAGAAGGGGAAAGGGAAGGAGAAGTCCCGGATCGCCGAACTCGAAGAAGAGGTCAAACAGTTGAAGGCAGGAGGCAGTAGAGCGGAGTCGTCAAAAAATGGAGGAGCTCAGGAATGAAGGATGTGCCTATCCTGAGCAGTGGAGAGTTGTTTGTTGTTAGCATTGGCGCCAGTGAACTTTTTTCAAGAAATCAAATTGATCCGCGTTTATTTATTTCTTTGCCCATTGTGCCACCCAAACATTCTTGAGCCACAACCCCATTGCCACTCCCTCCCGCTACTTTTCTCATTGACTCTGGAGCAACCCATGACGTGATTGGCGAGTCTTATGCCAAGTCTACGGGACTCCTTGATATTGCCAGACCCTCTCATCGTACCATATCTGGTTTTGACGGTTCCTCAAGCCGTTCTTCATTTGATATCCACCTGACTCTTGACACCGACCCATCTCCTTCCCCATTCATCATCACTCGCCTGAAAGACTCTTACGACGGGATCCTTGGAATGCCTTGGATCCGTAAGCATGGACACCTTATTGATTGGACTGACCGAAAATTCAGGAAAACCCCACAGGATTTTGCAGCTGTCGATGCAGCTTCGTCAATTCCGAAAAAACCCTCACCTTTTGGCGTGGAGCCCGTGAGGCAAGCTAGGATTTTTGACGAGGGGGTGTGTGTCTCTGACATGTTTACACCCCCGCAATGTGAGTTCGCTGCGGTCCCTTCCAAAATTCCTATTGAAACAGCTGGCAAGCCTCTTCCCTTCCTAGGACATAGCACCACCGACCGGATCCCAACCACCGAAGACAGGACCATTGCAACTGCCGAGCCAGTTTTGCCAATTCCGACAAAGGCCTCATCTATTGGCGTGGAGCCCATGAGGCAAGCTAGGATTTTTGGCAAGGGGGTGTGTGTTTCTGACACGTTAACACCCCCGCAATGTGAGTTCGCTGCGGTCCCTTCCATAAATTCTGTTGAAACAGCTGGCAAGCCTCTTCCTCTCCTAGAACCTGTTCCAACTGCAGATGTCAGCGCCGCTAAAGCCTCTTGGTCGACATCGGCTCAACTCGCGGTGGACAACAAGGCCAAGACCCCTGTGAAGACGGCAGAAGAACTAGTCCCGACCCACTATCACCGGTATATCAACATGTTCCGCAAGTCCAGTGCCCAGAAACTGCCACCCAGAAGAATCTACGACTTTCGAGTAGACCTTGTGCCGGGAGCCCTTCCCCAAGCAAGCAGGATCATTCCCCTGTCACCCGCCAAAAACCAAGCACTCGACACCCTGATCACTGAAGGACAAGAAAACGGCACCATTAGACGAACCACTTCGCCCTGGGCAGCACCAGTGCTGTTCACCGGGAAGAAAGACGGCAACTTACGCCCATGTTTTGACTACCGGAAGCTCAATGCTGTTACCGTGAAGAACAAGTACCCCCTACCTCTGACGATGGACCTGGTTGACAGCCTACTCGACGCCGACAATTTCACCAAGCTTGACCTGAGAAACGCCTACAGAAATCTATGTGTAGCGGAGGGTGACGAGGAGAAGCTGGCGTTTGTCTGTCGACAAGGACAATTCGCACCGCTGACTATGCCATTTGGACCAACAGGAGCACCAGGCTACTTCCAATATTTCATGCAAGACATCCTGTTGGGACGGATTGGGAAGGACACGGCAGCTTACCTGGACGACATCATGATCTACACGCAGAAGGGAACCGACCACCAAGCGGCTGTCATGGGAGTATTGGAAACACTTAGCAAGCATCAACTTTGGCTGAAACCGGAAAAATGTGAATTCTCTCGACCAGAAGTGGAATACTTGGGACTTTTGATATCATGTAACCGGCTGAGGATGGACCCGACTAAAGTCAAAGCTGTATCCGAATGGCCACCGCCCAAGAATGTGACCGAACTACAGCGTTTCATTGGATTCTCAAACTTCTACCGGCGATTCATTGACCACTTTTCAGGAATAGCCCGACCTCTCCACGACTTGACCAAGGACAAAACTCCCTATGTCTGGGACGACCGGTGCAACAAGGCATTTGAAACTCTGAAAACCGCGTTCACCACGGCGCCAGTACTGAAGATAGCCAACCCGTACAGGCCTTTTGTCCTTGAATGTGACTGCTTGGACTTTGCACTCGGTGCCGTCTTATCCCAAATCTGCGACAAGGATCAAGAACTTCACCCGGTGGTGTATTTGTCACGATCACTGGTCCAATCCGAGAAGAACTATGAGATTTTTGACAAGGAATTGCTGGCAATCGTAGCATCTTTCAAGGAATGGCGTCACTATCTAGAGGGCAACCCGAATCAACTACAAGCAATTGTCTACACCGACCACCTGAACCTTGAAAGCTTCATGACAACCAAACAACTGACAAGGAGACAAGCGAGATGGGCCGAAACCATGGGATGCTTTGACTTCGAGATTGTTTTCCGACCGGGCCAACAGTCGTCCAAACCGGATGCTCTGTCCAGACGACCCGACTTGACGCCTTCAAAGGAGGACAAGCTCACCTTTGGACAACTGCTGCGACCCGAAAACATCACCCCCGACACCTTTGCTGAAGTGGCTGAATTTGACTGCTGGTTTGAAGACGAGTCTGTGGATCTGGATGACGCCGAACATTGGTTCCAAGTGGAAATTCTCGGTGTGGAGGAACCCAGCACTCCGTCAGAGGATATTCCAACAGATAGCGAACTGATAAGCCAAATCCGATCTCTGACTCCATCTGATTCCAGACTGACCGAATTGATTTCAGCCTGTGAGAACCCAGTGTCCAGTCGAATGAAGGAGGCCACCAAGCATTACTCGGTGAAGGACGGAGTGCTCTACAGGAGCGGACGGATTGAAGTACCCCGGAATGAAGACCTCAAGACCAAAATCCTGAGGAGCCGCCATGACAGCAAGTTAGCAGGACACCCAGGAAGATCAAAGACGCTTTCGCTGATACGTCGCAGCTTCACGTGGCCATCCATGAAAAGCTTCGTCAACCGCTACGTGGATGGTTGTGACTCTTGTCTTCGGGTCAAATCCTCAACCCAGAAACCATTTGGGACGTTGGAACCGCTGCCCATCCCTGCAGGCCCGTGGACGGACATTAGCTACGATTTGATAACAGACCTCCCCCTATCCAACAATTACGACAGTATCCTCACCGTGATTGACAGACTGACTAAAATGGCCCACTTCCTTCCTTGCAACAAGTCCATGAACTCCGAACAGCTTGCAGATCTTATGTTGAAACAGGTTTGGAAACTCCACGGCACCCCAAAGACAATTGTCTCGGACAGAGGAAGTATTTTTATCTCTCAGATCACACAAGAGTTAGACAAGCAACTTGGAATCCGGCTTCATCCTTCGACTGCGTACCACCCCAGGACTGATGGACAATCTGAAATCGCAAATAAGGCGGTGGAGCAGTACCTACGGCACTTTGTTCAGTACCGACAGGACAACTGGGAACCGCTCTTGGCAACGGCAGAATTTGCTTACAACAATAATGATCACGTCTCAATCGGAGTCTCACCATTCAAAGCAAACTACGGCTTCAATCCTTCCTACGGCGGTATCCCATCAAATGAACAGTGTCTGCCGGTAGTTGAAGAACGACTCAAGCAAATTGATGAAGTCCAGTCAGAACTCAAGTTATGTCTAGAAGCAGCTCAAGAATCGATGAAGACCCAATTCGACAAAGGAGTAAAAGACACCCCAATTTGG